ATTTTTCATGAACTAAACTTATCTAAACTTATTTTTCCTAAACATAACTTATTACAACTTATTTTTCCTAAACTGAATTTATCTGAACTTAATTGAACTTACACTTATTAGACCAAAAATAAGTGAAAATAAAGTAGACAGAACATGCTAGGCTCCATAAGATCTTGTTATATGTGACTTACTTTTGCTGAACTAAATTTATTTTTATAGTTATAAAATTATTTCTACTGAAATGAATTTAAGTTTACTGATTTTGTATTATGAGAGTTTGTTCTGTACACCCGGGGTTATTTGCTCATTTTTTTAAAAGAACAAAAATTAATGAGCAAATAATCTCGAGTGTACGGTAAACTCGGATTTATATAACAATTTCTACTCGAGTAACCACCGATCAAGAAACTAAAGTGACCTCGGCAACTCGAATAACCCTTACCGCCCTACCGTACAGTACAACAGGCCGCATACAAAACTATTGTGATTTGAATATTTATGCGAAATTAGCTCAAAAAAAAATTGTATGAATAGTACAAAATCCAAATATGTATAAATACATGTTTTTAAATTTTAATGCAAATTTGGCAAACATATATTGTATTTTTAATACTCTGTATATTTATAAGGATTGCAGAATATATGATGGAATATATATCTTATTTAAAGATATATTTTAGAGAATATCTTATTTTTGGATATAGTTTGATGTTAGGTTGTTGCCTTAATACTAAAGTCTTTGTTTTGGTAGTAAGCTAAGGTTTGTACGTATTAGAGAAATAAGAATAGTAAGGATAGATTTTGTAAAAAAAAAACACCTTAATTAAGAGACCTGTTAATCAAATAACTGGTCTCTTTGTTTCAAGAGACCCAACATTACAAACAACCGGTCTCATTCGTAATGTTCTGAAAAAAAGAAAAAAAAAACAAAGAGCCTTTCTTAGAGATAACGGGTCTCTCTTGATTTTTTTTTAAATTAAAAACGAGAGACGAGTGCTTTACATAACCGGTCTCTCTTTTTATTTTTATTTTAAAAAATACTAGTATATGTTTTGGAGAGACCTGTGGTGATGCTTAACCGGTCTCCCTTATTTCCATGAATAAATATAACTAAACCCTAAAATCTCTCTACCAGACTTATTTTTTCAATCGGCTTCCTCTCCCTCTCTCTCTCCTCCTCCTCTTACCTCAAACTCCTTATTCCTTCTCTTCGTGAACCATTTGATTCAAATTTCAATTTCAATTTTTCCATTTCTTGTTTCAATTCATCTTTTCTTCATACTTGAAACTTATATTTTTGATGCTTATCATTTTCTTGAACCTTGGTACTATATAAATTCCTTTTGTCTCTCAATTCGTCTCCATAGATTTTATTATCTCTTCAGTTAAACCGATTAGAATTGCAAGGCTATGGTGAAGGTTGGTTCCTCCTCTTATATTTCTTTTTATATTTTAATTTCGTTCAACTTAGTGTTCTTGAATTTTCATGCTAATTTCAAGATCTATAAAATTAATCAACATCTTCCGTTTTTTTCCTCAACTTTTCGTCTTTAAATTCAACTTTTATTATGATAATTGTTCACGTTTTGCTGCTATATCTATTAGGAAAGATAAATATTGTGAATATATTTTGTGATTATCTTTAGGTTATCTTGGCCTTGCCTTCCAAGTATCCTACTCTATATATAATTTTGTATATGGCCGTTTATATGAATGAGAAATACAGAGAATACTTTAAACCTAATTTAACATGGTATCAAGAGCCTTGTGAGATCCACAAAAAAAATTTCCGATCATTATTTTTCATAAATTTTGTTCGTGACTGTGAGTTCTTTGACTGATTTTCACATATTATTTTTTTTTAATTACTTTCTTGCGTGAGATTAAGAGATGCAAGGGGGAGATGGAGGAAAATCGAAGGTCGACTTGACCTTTCACCTAGGTTCAAGTGACGGGCCAGGTAATGTCATCACTCCGATTCAATTACGGGGAGACAATTATGATGAATGGGCTAGAGCTGTGAGGACGGCTTTGAAGGCTAAGCGGAAGTTTGGCTTTATCGATGGCTCGGTTGCAAAGCCGAGTGACTCTAAGAAAATTGAGGATTGGGTGGCTATACATTCTATGTTGGTGTCTTGGTTATCTAATACCTTGGATCCAATTGTCCGGTCGACTCTAGGTGATTATGATGATGCGAAGTTGCTCTGGGATAATCTTCGTAATCGATTTTGTGTTGTGAGTGGAACTCGGGTCTGTCAATTGAAGACGGCCTTGACAGATTGCAAGCAAGGGAAAACAGAACTGATTTCTGTTTACTTTGGCAGGTTGTCAAAAATTTGGGATGAATTAACCACTTATGTTTCGGTGCTAGAGTGTAAGTGCGGGAAGTGCACATGTAAAATTGTGCAGCAAGTTGAGAAATTGAGGCAAGATGATTTTATTCATCATTTTCTGATCGGTTTAGACTCTGCTTATGCGGCTTTAAAGGCTCAACTTCTAGCCCAAGATCCTTTGCCGACGGTAGACAAGGCATATCAACAGACCATCCAGGCTGAGCGCTTGCGGGGAGGGGATGTGACTGCCCCTACTGATGATCGAAGTAATGCGGTGGCCTTCAAGTTGCAAGGGCAAAAGCCTTGTGGTGAAAGTAGTGATAAATTTTGTGCTCACTGTAACAGGGAAGGTCACAATGAGTCGGGTTGCTTTCAACTCCACAGCTTTCCGGATTGGTGGGGAGATCGTCCACGTGGTGGGCGTGGACCAGGTCGTGGTGGAGGCTCGGCTGGCCGCGGTGGAGGACGGACAGGTGGCAGGGGCAGGGGGGGTGGTGCGCCTCCTGCTCGAGCAAACAAGACTGGTGGGCAGCAGCTCTCGCAGCCTTCACAAGCTGCTGTCGCGAGTGCCTCAGACGGGGCAGCTCTTGCTGGAATTTCATCGGCCCAAATTCAGCAGTTACTCGATCACTTGAACTCCATTAAACCCAAGCTTCACGGTAAGCAAGATATGGGTTGGATTATTGACACCGGTGCCTCAAACCATGTGACTTGTGATGTTTCTTTATTGATGAATGCATCAAATGTGAGCCATTATCCGTTGGGATTGCCGGATGGAAATTATGCAAATGCTTCTAAATTGGGTTCGGTGACATTGCAAGGAGGCTTAATCCTTAAAAATGTTCTTTATGTGCCTCAATTAAATTGCAATTTAATTTCAATGACTCAATTATGTGATGAATCAAATTGTGTAATGCAATTTACTAATAAACTTTGTGTTATACAGGACCTAACGAAGAGGAAGGTGATTGGAGCGGGTGAACGAGTAGATGGACTTTACTATTTCCGGGGTGTTCCTACGGTGAAGACTCTGAAGATAAAGGTGGATGGGTCGACAAAGTTGTGGCATCAACGGTTAGGGCATCCTTCGGGAAAAGTACTTCAACAACTTCCGTTTGTGAGTCATAATCGTAGCAAATTTAATTCATGTGATGTATGCCCTAGGGCAAAACAACATAGAAGTAGTTTTCCTTTGAGTCAAAATAAAGCTAGTCGTATTTTCGAACTAGTCCATTTAGATTTATGGGGGCCTTACAAGACACCATCGTCTTGTGGTGCTCATTATTTCTTAACTATCGTAGATGACTTTTCTAGGAGTGTGTGGATTTATTTATTAAATAATAAAACGGAAGTTGAGTATATGGTTCGTAATTTTGTTGCTATTATTAGACGTCAATTTTCTCAAGAAATTAAAGTGGTTCGTAGTGATAATGGTACGGAATTCAATTCGTTGAAAGAGTATTGTTTTGACAATGGAATTTACTTTGAGACCTCATGTGTGGGCACACCTCAACAAAATGGGCGTGCCGAGAGAAAACATCAACATATTTTAAATGTTGCTAGAGCCCTTAGATTTCAAGCAAATTTGCCTATAAAATTTTGGGGGGAGTGTATGCAAGTGGCATGTCATTTAATTAATAGAACTCCCTCTAGATTGCTTAATTATATGACTCCTTGTGAAATTTTATTTGGCAAAACACCTTCATATGAGTATATTCGGGTGTTTGGGTGCTTGTGCTATGCATATAATTTGAAGAGTAAGGGTGATAAATTTGCAAGTCGTAGTAGGAGGTGTGTGTTTCTCGGATATCCTTTCGGGAAAAAGGGATGGAAGGTGTACGACTTGGAAATTTGTGAAATTTTTGTGTCAAGAGATGTGACATTTTTTGAGATCGACTTTCCTTTTATTGCTCCTAGTGAGAAGCCCATAAAGGTAAGTGTGAGTGGTGGAGATGTTGGGGATAGTGATGATGAGTGGTGCGTCAAGATGGAGGGGGAGTGTGTGAGTGAAGATACGGGGGTGGAGAGGGAGGCAGCAAGCTCCGCAACCCACCTGCGGCTAGACCGCAGGGAGGTCGCGGAGGAGACTGCCCACCTCCCTTACCAGCACGCTACATCATCTGCGGCTGCAAGAGTTGATGGGGGTGCTGGTAGCACGCAGCAGGGGGCTGCTGGGGGTGCTGGCAGCACGCAAACCGAGGGAGAAGGGGGTGATTGCAGCACGCAAACCGAGGTAGAACAACAGTGTCTAGAAGCTCAAAATGGGCAGTGTGAGATAGATTGTAATGCAACAAGGGACACCGAGGCCTTGGGTAAAGGCATGAGACAGAAATTTCCGAATGTGAAACATCGTGACTTTGTTACAAACACGATCCGAAATATAAGTCCATCTACATTATCTCAGGGTTCACCTGCGACATCACTTTCCTCAGGTACTGTTTACCCTATAACACATTTTATTGATTCTAACCGGTTTTCTGTGAGGCATAGAACATATATTGCTGCCATTACAAGAGGAAATGAACCCAAAAGTTTTAAGGAGGATATGAAACACGAGGGTTGGAGGAAGGCAATGGCAGATGAGATACAGGCACTTAAAGAACAGGGTACTTGGGTACTAGAGAAGCTACCACCGGGTAAAAAGGCACTTGGAAGCAAGAGGCCTTGGGTAAAGGCATGAGACAGAAATTTCCGAATGTGAAACATCGTGACTTTGTTACAAACACGATCCGAAATATAAGTCCATCTACATTATCTCAGGGTTCACCTGCGACATCACTTTCCTCAGGTACTGTTTACCCTATAACACATTTTATTGATTCTAACCGGTTTTCTGTGAAGCATAGAACATATATTGCTGCCATTACAAGAGGAAATGAACCCAAAAGTTTTAAGGAGGATATGAAACACGAGGGTTGGAGGAAGGCAATGGCAGATGAGATACAGGCACTTAAAGAACAGGGTACTTGGGTACTAGAGAAGCTACCACCGGGTAAAAAGGCACTTGGAAGCAAGTGGGTGTACAAAGAAAAATACGATGAGCATGGGAATTTGCAGAGATTTAAAGCAAGATTAGTCATCTTTGGCAATCATCAGGTTCAAGGATTAGACTACAACGAAACATTTGCTCCGGTGGCAAAAATGGTGACTGTGAGAACCTTTGTTGCAGTAGCTCAGTGAAAAATTGGGAAGTTCATCAAATGGACGTTCATAATGCATTTCTTCATGGTGATTTGGAAGAAGAGGTATATATGAAAATTCCCCCTGGTTTTGAGAAAGATAATTCTGATAAAGTTTGCAGGATGAAGAAATCGTTGTACGGGCTTAAACAAGCCCCTCGGTGCTGGTTTGCAAAGCTTGCTACAGCTTTGAAAAATTATGGCTTTAAACAGTCATATTATGATTATTCTTTGTTTACTTTGACAAAGGGTAAAATTCAGCTTAATGTGTTGGTATATGTAAATGATTTAATTGTTGCAGGCAACGATAAAAATGTTATGCTCAGTTTTAAATCATATTTGGGAGATTGTTTCAAGATGAAAGACCTTGGGGTGTTGAAATATTTTTTGGGGCTAGAGGTAGCCCGGAATAACACAGGGAATTTTTATTTGCCAGAGGAAGTATGCACTGGATATAATTACTGAGGCTGGCTTGCTTGATGCTAAACCTGTAGAGTTCCCTATGGAACAAAATCACAAGTTAGCATTATCCCAGGGAGAGTATTTTCATGACATTGAGAAATATCGTCGCCTCATAGGGCGACTAATTTATCTGTCTGTTTTGAGACCCGATTTAGCATATTCTGTACACATTTTGTCACCGTTTATGCAGAAACCCAGGATTGGTCATTGGGAAGCAGCTTTGCGAGTTGTTAGATATTTAAAGAAGAGTCCGGGACAGGGTATTTTATTGAGATCTGATAGTGCATTACAGTTAGAAGGTTGGTGTGATTCAGATTGGGCAGGTTGTCCTCTCTCCAGACGATCCTTAAGTGGTTGGTTTGTGCTTCTTGGCTTGTCTCCAGTGTCATGGAAAACCAAGAAGCAGCCTACGGTGGCTCTTTCTTCGTCAGAAGCAGAATATCGTTGTATGAATGCAACGACTTGTGAATTAAAGTGGTTGAAGCGCCTACTTAGAGATTTAGGTGTTCGACATGAGAATGGGATGCACCTTTATTGTGATAGTCAGTCTGCATTATATATTGCGCAGAATTTAGTGTTTCATGAGCGAACAAAACACATTGAGTCGGATTGTCATTTTGTTCGAGATGCAATTACAGATGGGACGATTATACCTTCGTATGTTCCTACGACGGTTCAGTTGGCTGACATTTTTACAAAAGCTTTGGGAAAAGCTAAATTTGAGTTTCTACTTCGCAAGTTGGGTGTCCGAGATCCGTACTCTCCAACTTGAGGGGGGGTATTAGGAAAGATAAATATTGTGAATATATTTTTTGATTATCTTTAGGTTATCTTGGCCTTGCCCTCCAAGTATCCTACGCTCTATAAACTTTTGTATGTGGCCGTTTATATGAATGAGAAATACAGAGAATACTTTAAACCTAATTTAACAATATCTAACTTCATCAATTAATGATGGGTATCCTTTAATTTTGTAGTCTTATCTTTAATTTTTCTTTAAATATTTATTTGCTCTTGGGGTTCTTTGAGTTAGGGCTGTGACTTTGTGAGTATCAAGTGAGGATTCTGCCTTGATTTTGTGTTTAGTCATCTTTACGAATTTCATTTTAGATCTCTTATTTCATTAGTTATAAGTTGTAGAACTCTGTTTTCAGTTTTTTTTTTTTTTTTTTTTTTTTTTTATATACAGTTTAATTTCTTTTATATTTTAATTTTATTTTTTGTTAAATTTTATTTTTTTATTTTCTTTATTAATTCTATTATAGGTGTTTTGAATTATTGTTGTGGAGGTTAATTTATGTTTTTGTTTTTATTTTTTGAAATGTTTGTATTTGTAATTGTAGGTAAAGATCTACAAGTTTTAAATTTGAAGAGAAGAAATTTATAGTTGAAGATCTTTGTAGCTTGAAGAATTGAAGTTAAATTTACATATTCTTTTTTTTTTGTATGGGATTTTATTGATAATTGTACTCGTATTATGTTTGTAATTTTGACGTATATATGAAATTTAAGAATTCTTTGTACTCCGTATTTGATAATGTAAAAATAAAATAAAATTACTCCGCAAATACAGTACATTATTTTGATGAATTTATTATTTGTTTTATTTTTAATGGAGCTAAAGAGACTGCTTTAGTTAAATAAGCGGTCTCATTTTTTCTGAAAAGGAGACTCCCTATCTTTAATAGGCGGTCTCAGTTTTCGAAAAAATGAGACTGCCTATCTTAGATAGGCGGTCTCAGTTTTTTCATTCTAGAGACCGCTTTTAATAAATCAGTCTCTTTGCCAAAGAGACCACTTGGCTAGAGACCGTCTCTAAGGCAGTCTCTTTGGCTAATTTGGACGGGTCTCTTTGGCCATTTTTGTAGTAGTGCTTTTTTATTTAGGAAAACATGAGATGGATTAGTTTTTGGTTTGCTTTGAGGAAATCAAGGAAACTAATCTTTCTACGCTTTTAATTTTCATTTTTTAAAATTTTTTGCTTTTTTTTTTTCTTTATTGGGTAAATAATTGTATTTTATTTTTTGGCCAATTAGTTTTTTCTTATTTGAGATAATTAAGGATAAATCTGTTAATATCCCCAAAACAACGCCCACTATTACCTGAAATCACACCTCTATAACGACCTCTTTCATTTTTAATTTTTTTTTCCTTTTTTCAAAATTTATATTTTTATTTATCTTCAACCTTTGCATATAGCTTCTATATATTATTCAATTTAATTCAATTCAATTTTTATTTTTATTTTATTGTAAATTCATCCATCTTTTAATTGGTTACAAAATTATTTTTTACATATATTATGCCATAACAAAATATTACCCTAATATATTCATAGGATGATTCATGCCTGCATAACATGATGACTTTGTACAAAACATACTCAAATCACTTGGAATGTAATAATACTAAAGTGTTTATTAATGAGTTATGTACTTTATATAGATTAATGTATACAATAATTTTCCATATTCTATAAGTACTTAACAAATTTCTATTAAAATTTTAATTAGTTAACTAAATATATATATATTTATTAACATAATTAAAATTCCCCTATCACAAATCACCCCCCCCCCCCAAAAAAAAAAAGAAAATGGAAATCAGTTAGATTTTGGTTTATTTTTTTTAAAATAATAATAATAATAATAATAATAATAATAATAATAATAATAATAATAATAATAATAATCGGCATAATGTTTTTCAGGTATCATGTGCGGGTATGGTTGGTATTAAACATCGGCATAATGTTGTTCGGTATCGTGTGCAGGTATGGTTGGTATTAAACATTGGCATAATGTTGTTCGGGATACTCTTGTTGATATTTGTTATCGATCTGGGATTTTAGTGCGAAAGGAGGTTGACATTGGGTTGTCTGGAGGGAATGGCAGGGCCCTCAGACCTGTAGATGTGGTACTTTATTCTTGGGATCGTGGTCGTGATGTTTGTGTTGATTTGATAGGGTCTTCTCCTTTGACACAGTCGAGTCTATCTGATTTTGTTCCTGGACGGGTTGTGGTCGATGCAGCTTATCGGAAGCGGGTCAAGTATGAGTCTAGTTGTTGAGCTATTATTTCTTCGCTCGGGGAATTAGACAAGGAGGTTGTTGCATTGCTGAAGCGGGTTCAGAAATTCTCAACAACTCAGGACATCGGGGCTCGTGCTGATGCTCATATTTTTACTAGGATAGGCTTTTCTATAGCTAGAGGAGTGGGGCCCAGATTGTATCTCGGCTTCCCACTAATTTTTGGTAGGTTGTATGACTTTATCTGTTTTTGAGATATAATAATAATAATAATAATAATAATAATAATAATAATAAAAATAATAATAAAAATAATAAAATAATAATAATAATAATAATAATAATAATAATAATAATTTTCAACCTAAAATCATGCTCATCAAGCTTCAACATTCAACAATGGCTTCTTCAAAGAAATATTCAACAATGGCGGATGATTCACAAATTCATATGACTAATCTAAATTAAACTAAAAATCATTTCAATTCTAATAATTGATCCTAAAAGATCTAATCAATAATTTTTCTATCAAATTTTTATACACATGTAAATTGATACAAACACTGAAATAAAAAATTAAAGCATAAATATGATGATTGAACATTAATCATATTGATTCCGTATGTAATTTGGTAATTTTTGTATAAATATTGGAAATTGGAGGTTGAACATGGAGTGTCCCATTAAAATAGATTAAAAATTAGGTGCGCCATTGTTGAATGTTTGAAGCTATCAAAATGGGGATGAAGGTATGCAAATGAATTTTGACTAATGCTGAAATAATCAGTATTCGAATCGTTAAATTTATTTTATTTTTTGAAGGAAAATCGCTAAATTACCTTGAATGTTGTAGGTTGAACATGAAGGTTTTAGATAATATAGGTTGAAGAAGATGAATATAAGTGTTGAAGCTTATAAGTTTTGATGATGATGAACTTAAACTAAAGCAAACTCAACTAAAAGTTTACAAGTGTTTAAGTACAGGAGAAATTGACCTTGGTGGAGGAAGAACATCTTGTATTATGAAGACTTGAAGAATCTTTAGTTAAAAAGTTAATCAATAGAAGAAGAGTTCTTTAACAAGAACTAAGTTCCCTAATAGGAATGTTCCCTAACAGGAACTTAAAGGTTGAAGACAGTAAGTTCCACAAGGAACTTAGGCTACGAAGTTCCAGTTGAGAACTGGAGACCAAGTGACAACAAGAACTTGTTCCTGGCCTGCGTGAAGCCCAAGATATTCAGAATTACAAAAGCGCGGCATTGAAGATATTAATTTTTTTAAGATTTTATCTTCTAGATTTATTGTTATATATGTTAATAAGATATGCATGAAATCTATTAGAGACGTGACAAGATAATTTGGCAAAAAGATAAAATTGGAAAAATATAAAAAGATAGATTTTGGAAAAAGATTTTGTTTTAATTTATTTTTCTAAAATCAGTTACAAAACGATAATATTCTTTTCTATCTTATTGTATTTTTCGGAAAGGATTTTTCTTCAATAAAATGA